CCACCTTCTCAACATCTTTCTTCGCTGAATCACCGGACGAGAATAAATCTTGCACACCTTTGTTCACACTCTCCATAATTCCTGCGAGAGGTTCCTTTTTATCTTTCTCATCTGCCTTCTCATCGTCACCTTTCTTCGGCTCTTCACCAGTTCCCGTGATGTCCTTCTTCAAATCTTCTACCTTCTCGCTGACATCCTTCACGAATGAATCCTTTATTTCACTTAATTTCTGAATGCTTTCGTCTGTGATACCAAAATTTTCCAAAACGTTTTTCAGCCCACTTCCAGACTCGTCTTTAGTTTGTGGCTGAAAACATCGTTGAAAATGAATGCGTCATTATTTGGTCAAGTTATTGACGGTTGGTACACGCTTATAGTGTTATGAGTTATAAACACCTTATCTGATTGAATAATGAGCTTATGACATATTTATTATAGACAAAAATTAGCGGGCATTTTCACTGAAATTTTTTTCATATGTGCGATGACTAAAAAGATTTTGACTTATTGATAAAGTACGAAAACTTAAGTAGGATTCAGTCTACCTCAAACGGACCCACTTGTGTGGGCACTTCAACACCTTCTTCGACAGTTTTCTTGATCATTGGTGGCTCAACAACATCGCCTTCTTTAGACTTCACTTTCGGATCGAACGCACTCTTCATATGCTCCACTCCCTCGGTAACGGCTCCTCGGATGCCCGTTATCAAATCTTGCAAACTTTCTTGTGGTTCTGTTTCTTGCTTCACTTCCACATCTGGCTTCTGCTTTTCCACGTCTTTCTTATGTTCCTCAACAGTATCCACTTTCGTATCAACCACCTCTTTCACCTGACTAATACCTTCTTGCAAGGCACCTGCGAGGCCGGTTACAAGATCACTCAACCCAGATCCTTCTTTGGTCGCTTCAACCTTNTCCTCTGCTGTCTCATGCTTCTCGACTTCTTCAGGCTTGAGCTTTTCCTTCAGATGCTCTACACCCTCGTGAATGGCCCCTCCGATTCCCGAGACCATGCTTTCAAGAGTTGGCTCTGATTTTTCGCCTTTCTTTCCATCTTCATGGACATCTTCCTTATGAACGTCTTCTTTGGGTGTTTCGACAGGGCTCTTTTCAGTCATCTTACTATCAATTGCATCTTTCACTTGACCAAAACCTTCTTGTACGGCACCTGCGAGACCAGTTACAAGGTCACCCAACCCCGATTCTGGTTTGGTTACTTCAACCTTCTTCGCTGGCGCTTCCTCTGCTATCTCATGTTTCTCATGCTTTTCGACTTCTTCAGGACTGAGCTTTTCCTTCAGATGCTCTACGCCCTCGTGAATGGCCTCTCCGATTCCCGAGACCATGCCTCCAAGAGTTGGCTCTGATTTTTCGCCTTTCTTTCCGTCTTCGTGGGCAACTTCCTTGTGAACATCTTCTTTGGGTGTTTCGACAGGGCTCTTTTCAGTCATCTTGCTACCAATTGCATCTTTCACTTCATCAAAACCTTCTTGTACGGCACCTGCGAGACCAGTTACAAGATCACCCAACCCCGATCCTGGTTTGGTTACTTCAACCTTCTTTGCTGGTGCTTCCTCTGCTGTCTCATGCTTCTCGACTTCTTCAGGCTTGAGCTTTTCTTTCAGGTGCTCTACACCCTCGTGAATAGCTCCTTCGATGCCAGATACCAAACCTTCAAGAGGCGACTCTGGTTTTTCCTCCGATTTCTTTTCGGGTTTGCTTTCTTCCTCAACTTGCTTCTGCTCTTTCCCGACATCACTCAATTTCTCATCAACCGCTTGCTTCACATGCTCGAAGCCTCCTTGCAAGGTTCCTGCCAGACCCGATACCAAATCCCCAATACCGGCTTCCTTTTTTGTGTCTTCCTTTTTCTCGTCGACCTTCTCTTCTTTAGGTTCGTCTTTGTGTTGTACAGTATCTTTCAAATGCTCAATTTTTTCGTCAGCAACCTTTGTAATTTGATCTATGCCATCGCTAACGGCACTTGCGAATCCAGACGCGAAACCACTCAACGATTTCCCTGGTGCCTCTTCCTTTGGAACCTGTTCTGCTTTTGGTTTTGGTTTGCTGACCTCTTGACTGTCGTCTGGCTCATAATCATCGTTGACTTCACTTAAACGCTTCTTCAACGCTCCGGCAATACCGGATGCGAAACTGAACGATTCATCTTTTTGTTTTGGCGCAGCAGCACCTTCATCATGTTTTGCAGCATCGGATTGAGGTTGTTCGGATGGTCCTGTGAGATCACTTTTAACTTTTTCAATGGAATCCGTAACACCTTTAACGAGCGTGTCTTTCATCTCGCTTAGATGTTCGACTTTATCGTCTGTAACACCGATATCGTGCAGAATCCCTTTGACCGTATCCTCAAGACCTTGCATTGAAATCGCCTCATCTTTCTTCTTACTCGTCACTTCTTCTACAACTTTTTTGCACTCTTCCGCTGCACCCGTCTGAAAATTACTATCGTTGAAAAAATCTTGTCATGAATTTAAAACCAGCTTTTGAGAAAACGATGAAAATTTCCTGTTTTTGCTGAAAATTTCAAAATTAACCCCTCTAAACTGAGCCAAAGGAAAACTGAAACAATACTGCAGTTCAATTTGCAAGTGTAATGAAAATAACGTTTTTTTATAAAGTCCCAATGATGCTTCCAATGATCAATTGAAACTAGTTTGGTAAGAAGAATAGAAAAATTTTGAAATAAATCGAGAATTTATTTTGCACAAGGGGCACGAGAGATGCAAAGAGCAGAATTCATTTGAATAAACTGAAAATTCCGGCAACAAATGGTTTGTTAAATTTGTTCATCTGTTTGAAAGCAATTACGATGATTAAGTATATGAATTAGATTTTGAATACATTTTCAATGCATTGAAGGAAATTAACGATGCCAATTTGAAACAACCCAAAAAATTAGAAACGGCACAATGACACGTTCACGGTGATGAAAAACGGATAAAGTAAAAAGTGCTCGAATGAGGGAGGCTGGGGCCTTCTTCAAATGAATGTACGTAATCTGTGCTTTCCATGGCAGTTTGCTCAAACAAAAAAATAGATTGAATTAGCTAGATAACATTCGTGAGCACATCTCATTTAACAACCAACCACTCAACTGTTCAGTTATACACTTAACTTTAGCACTGACAGAATTCAACTGAAATCGAATGTCATGTAACGAATACAAAAGGGTGCTGATTGTGAGGGAAAATCAATGATGAAATGATCTTCGATTGCTGCCTGAATTTCGTAATGAACTGCTGAAGAGAAGCTGCAAATTTTTGCAGATTCCAAACGTATAAAGAAAAGGAAAGTGAATCTTTCGTCCGCTGATAAGTTATGAACGTATATCCAAAATGAAAAAAAAAAAGAGATTGAACTGAATGAACCTGAATTTCACCATGCGAATCGCCCAGTTCGGGTGCAGCCGTTGAGGCATTAGACTCAAGTTGATTACTCATCTGAAATCTGATGATTCACTGCATCATTCATTGCCTTCATTACATACTTACGTCAGTTATGAGCAGGCGATTCGCTATAAGAAAAGGATGATACCATACGTCATACGCAATCAACAAACGTAAGAGCAATTAAGATGTAGTAAGAATCAATCAAATTCTACGATAAAATCACTGAAGACTGAAGTACACAAACAAAAAGTGGGAGAAGTACGTCGTAGGAAGCTGATTGAACTTGAGATTTCGAATGGAATAAACGATAGAGACAAGTGTATTTCGCTATACTACTGCAATATTTACTCGCTTTATAATCAAACAAAACTGGATAAGAATGACGAACATCTACATAATGATGTTGCATAGATTTCAAAAAAACCGTAACACCTCGGTAATCTTGCGCAAAGAGCATTGTAATTGTTAAGTATAACAATTTAATGAATTCATTGACGCAAAAACACCTAGCCAATCGCTGAGGACAGGAGGAAAATGAACCAGGAAACTCGATGAGTAAACGAAGTAATTGAAGCAATGAAACAATCAAATGAAGTAACTGATATTTGTAGGGCAAAAATATCTGACGAACATCTGCATAATCGACAAATTTCTGGAACAATTGAGACGTAACGAAGATTCAATCGTATAAGAAACGAATTACCAACTGGGCAAAAAGTGAAAAGTTTATCTTAGGATTTGTCGAATGTCAGTATTTCAACGTTCTCTCCATGATGTTGTACTGAAATGAAGCAACCAAAAGAACACCATGAGCCATTTATTTGCTGAATTTTTGAGAACCAGCAAACTCGTCGTTTCAACTACTAATTAACAAGCAAAAAAAGCAAAGAAAACGTCGTCGACTTTACCAACAACATGTGAATAGGAAATTGGTGAAAGAAACAGAGCAAATAGCACACAACTCAAGTTAATCCATCACGAATGAGTTCGTGAGAATGCTTCAGACGAAATGAGTTATTACGAACACAAATAAACATTCAGAGATGCAATAGTGACGAGTGTAAATATGAGCGATATTGATGAATCAGTTTCCAGTGCGACGACTTGTCCTCCTCGTTTATTTTAGCACTAATTGCAAATCAACTTCATTCAACTGTCACTCATTTCGATCCGAATTTCGTTACGATATGCAAAATTAATTCAGTCAGATCACGCGAAATGAATGGCACATGTCGAAAATCAATACAACAAGAAAAGAATCTTATTTTCAGCAGTAATCATTTGACAAAAATGTACAATACAATCCCAACAAGACAGTTCCTTACTGTACAACAGCACTGAGAAAACCACCAATTGCAATCAATCATTTGCTATTTTAAAACGTTCGACAATAAAAGAAGCCATAACACATCAATCAGCACAACCTGATATATGTGTCTAACACGATTCAAATGAAATATTCGTTAAAACATCACTGAGACTACGACAAAAGTACATTGCATCGACTGAATCAGAACCATTTTGCAAACTGAAATTATTTTGTGACTAATATTTAATCACTATTAACATTACTACTATCACTACTGACATTGTTGTGGTAATTAGTATCATCATTATAGCTACTGCTACCTATCAGCATAGGATAACACTAACTATAGGATATCGCTATCGCCTAGTCAATAAATTACTAGAGATCAGCGAATTTATCAAGAAGAGAGGAGTTAACAAAGGGACTGAGCAGATCACTTTGTTCATTTCAATCGCTCAACTAACTGGTCTTCTATTGGCCTTTTCTTGCAGAAAAGTGTTGCTGAGTGTTCGTTGGTGAATGCCACTAGCACAAAATAAACGTGGTGCTGATGATAGTATATTGCAAATGAGCGATAAGTATCATCAATACGGCTAAAAGTGGATCTCACTAAGAGAATCTTTGAGATGTGTGCCAGTAGAGCAGTGAAAGTTTAAGTATTCGTTCACTTGAGAAAGTACATAAACGCTTTTTGACTTGACTAAATCAATTTATCGTTACATACTCCCACATTCTATACTGTGAACTTACTCACATTCCAGTCTATCGATCCATCAGGCAATCAATAATCGATCATGATCAGGCAATAACCTGAAAAAACCCGGCGTAAACCCATACATAAACTGATGATAGTTAAGGTGGAGCAACTGAACGAACCAGCGATGAATTCTCAAATCCTTGAATACTACTTATCCAGCTACTCGCAGTGGCTTACGAGGACTTATTTTGAGGACAAGGAATAGAAAATTTTTGCAGATGGAGTAATGAGAAGAGAGTTTTAGGGGATAGAAGTGCGATGTCGGAATCAGACATAAGAACCACAACGATAGCATTTATCAATGATGCATCTCGGAATTGCTCGCCCAGTCTCTCTTTTCTAAGCCATTGTTTGTTGTTCTTACTTGCAAATAACAGACAGTCGCCAACGAAAAGGCATCTAGCTTACAATC